GTGCTTGACCATTTTAACACAACGTGGTGCGATCATCCCCCTTGCGCGGAGCGAGGGTTATCCACCCCGCACAACATGATCTACTCGACCACCATTATGGTTACCGCCAAAAAAAAATAACAGAGGTAAAAAAAAACAGTTACCTGGTTGCCGAGTTCACGAAGTGAATTGGCTTGTTTTACAACGTCGTTGCCAAGCGACGAAAACCCAACCCCGATGGCAAGCACCGAGACAGTGTGGGGGGTGGGGGGTGCAGAAAGAGCCCGGGACGTGGAGAAGCCCTCGGCGACATGTTTGCAAAACGGCATTTGCAGGTGTCGTCACAAGCTTGGTTGTGGAGCAACGGAGCTTTGGAAATCAGTCCAGGGGTATGATATCTTATGTCGCCATGCGTAGCGTACGTTCAGTGAAATAGCAGTCGAACGAGATCTTTCGGACCCATGCCATTGCGGTGATGGCAACACCTTGCCGCAGTCGAACGACTAAGTTGAAAAAATGGGGTGCTTGGCTCACACTAGCTGTCGAACTAAGTAGGTATGTCGTCGTCTCTCCTTTGGCACTGTGGGCCGCCAAGGCGCTGCTCTGGTGCTTCATGTGTAGAGCATGTCCAAGTGACACAAGAAAATACTCCTCTTTGCCCTTTCAAGATCACTTGGAAGCTTATTCGCAGGGGGCATGTCTTGAAATCTTGATAGTTTACGATGAGGGCTGAATGACGACGGAATACATTCAACATTGCCGGCCTTTAGACTAGGGGGGATCTGGTGACACCTACTCTTCCACCTTGAACGTCTGCAAGAATAACCAGCTTTTAAAAGGATTGCATCTCATTTTTTCGAAACCTAAGTTTACTTTTTTTTACCATGTGCTCCCAAAGTAGGTGTGCGAGACGAGGACAGCCAAGACCTTCGCCAAGTTGTCCTACGAGAAGGGGGTTGTCTTGGCCCGGTGCCCCGGCTGCCACAACATACACCTGATCGCCGACCGATTAGGGTGAGTCGAGCTTTGCTACAAGAACTGCTGTGGCTATGCTTTATCCCGAAAGTGTTTGCTTGACCGTACGTGTATTTTCTCGTAAAACGTTCCAGGAAGATGACAGCTCCCATCAAAACACAGCCGCCACCCGCTTCTGGCGATTGTGTGTGTGTGTGTGGGGGGGGGGGGGGG